TTTAAACTAACGTAATTGTTCAATAGCTATTTTATTTCTATCACTTATATATAAAAGTTTAATTATAATTTTTTTAAGAAAATCCTGTATCTTTCTCCATGGATTAACCTTAAGTGATGATTCTACCAAATAATTCAGATGTAATTAAAATATTTACATATTTATTTGTGGAAGAAGAAAGATATATACATATTTACCCTATCCAGTTCGTAATATATAACAAAGTTACCCAATTTTATGCTTATTAAGAAATAATAGTTAGAGCCTTGAAATTATTAAAAAAGGAGTAAATTTTTAATTTTTCCTTTCTTTGCAATTAATAACCATATTAAATTGTTATCTTGGAATTCAAAATATAATAAATAAACAAAGGGTAAAATTTTAAAAATAATTATTTTCTCTAACTTTGTCTTATATTAAGGATAAAAAAATTTCCAAAATTTTCCTTACATTAAGGAATGGAGGGATTATTTACTTACCTAAAATATTTATATATTATGATTAAAATAGTTATATATTTACTTAATTTTTGGTTTTCCTATATTGTAACCGTATATTGATTAGCACTTATTAGAGAATCACAATGAAGCCTGATACTGCAAATTAAAATAAATTTTAAAACAAAGGAAGATATATGGGATTTTTCTTAAAATTTAATTGGATTCCTCAATATTATTTTTTACTAAACCGCCAAAATTGAGAGATTAAAAATATAATAATTAAATGTTAAATTGGATAATTGTACTTACTGGTTGAAGAATCCACTGGTACAGAGACTATATAGAAGAACTTTCTTTGCTCATGGAGCTCACATCAGAATAAAGAATCAATGAGCTAAGCCCAGCAGAATCTAAAGAGCATGAAAGAATATCTTGTTATTGAATGGTGCAGTTTTCTCTAATAACTCGCAGACTATTGATACATTAGTAGGATAATCATAATCATCTCATTAAAAAAATTGATAATCTTCATTTTAAATTCAGCACTAAAATATAATTAACAATTAGATAATAAATTAGTTACTGAAAAATTTATTAAATATTTAAAAGAACCTATTGTACGCGCAATAAAATATTTTTATTAGTAATTTTATATGAATCTTGTGAATTATGATTCAACTGCATTATTAATAATATAATATCTATGTAGAATTAACACATTATAGCAAGTTGGACGTTGATAGCTAATTTAAATTCATTATTATCAATAAAGTGAGATATTATCATATTTACAGTTAATTTAGTTACGAAATCTCTACCATCCAATCTTCACGCAACACATTATAATGAATTAAATTATTTATATATTCACTTGTTCAGTTTACCAATATACATATTTATAATTAAATTGAGGATGGAAATTTGGTGATAAAAATAGAAATTTTGACGGGAGACTATCAAATTGAGGAAATAAAAGCAGAAACAGGAGAAAAGAAAAACGCATCGAATTATTTGTTATTGTGATTATTATAATTAATTGTATCAATTGATTACTCCCTTCGTGAAGAACCGTTTTATGCATATTAAAAAAATTAGTTTTTTATATTATAAAAAAGTGAAATGTATTTTCATTTTTACTCTTGACTTTAAATGATAATACAACTACATTAAATACTTTCACGTCAATCAATAAAAAATAAAATTGAAAAAGGTAGTTTAATTATAATAAAGTATCTTATATTTTATATCAAAAATTACTTCTAGAAAGTCTTATAAATAAGATCGAAGGAAGTATTTATGGGGACATGTGACCTCTCCATTTCCTTATCATCAATTTCCCTCCCTTCCTAAAACAGATGTAGTGATGTTAATGGGGGAAATGATAATAAGAAAATAGAGATTATAGTTTGAATTACGTAACATGCATGTGTGTGTATGTTGGTTTACATAACAGATTTATTTTGAAAGTTGGGACATTACAAAATGTATTAGAAAAAGGCATACTAGAACCTCTAGCCCCTAAAAACAGTTTAAGCATGTCTCATGATTTTATTATCATTAAAAATATTTATATATTTACTTAATTTTTACTTAATTTTTTGCATCTCAATACTTATATATTTATACTTATAAGGTGATCAGAATGGAAAATTAGCTGCAAAAATTGAAACTTTGATAGGAGATGATCAAATTCCAAATGAAAAACCTCTGAATTACAACTAACTGTATGTTGGTTAGTGTTTATCAGAGAATCATACAGTTTTCTTTCTCTACGCATATAAAGAAGATTGATATACTTTTGATTAATTAAACCATGTGGCAGTATATTATACACGTGCCAAAATTGAGAGATCATAGTAAAAATATAATAATTAAATATTAAAATTGGATGATTATAGTTACTTGTTAAAGAACCCATTGGTTCGTCAGAGACTACAGAAGATTCTTCTTTGCTCAAAGTTAACAGAAGAAAAGCCTTCACTTTTTCTCATCCAAATGGAGAGTTGAATTTAAAACTTTTACTTTAATTTTCATAATCTGGTTGGCACTAATAATAGGCTGATCATTGATCGTAGTATGGGCTAAGATTGATGAGAGATTAAAAAGATAATAATTAAATATTAAGTTGGATATTTGTACTTACTTGTTGACATTGTGGTCGTTCTGCTCTTGGTGAGAGTCGGCTGTTTGGTTCCTATAGTCTCCATCAATGTAGCCTCAGTGGAAGTCGACCTCCCATCTTGGTCGCCTTCGTCGGTCTGGTCTCGATGGAATTCAACCTTCCTGGCCCAATCATCGTCATCAAGCCCCAGTGGAATTTAGTCGTTCGGTCCCCATCATCATTATTGGTATTGTCCCGGTGGAATCCTATAGTCCCATCTCAATAGTCACCGTCAGTTCAGTCCCAGTCATTGTCGTATTGGTCCGATCCTGTTGACTATAGCACCAATATCATATAGTCAAAGTCAATTGGGACTGTAGCACTAGTAACAATTGGGACAGGACACTTGACTTCCACGAGGACTAGACTGTTGTAATGATAGGGATCAAACGGCCAACTTCTATCGGGATCGAATTGACGACTATGATGGGAATTAGACGGCTGACTTCCACCTGCCCCTATCATCGCTATCGATTTGGTCCTAGTAGAAGTCCCCAATCCCGTCTTGATAGTCGCAGTTAATTTGGTTCTGGTGGAAATTGGGCATCCCGTCCTAATCTTTGTTGTTGGGTCGATCCCAATGAAATTTGGCCATCTCATCTCGGTCACTCTTATCGATTTGGTCCCGATGGAAGTTGGCCATTTGGTCCCTGTCATCACTGTGAATCCTATCCTGGTGGAAGTCCGTAGTCCCATTTAGGTAGTTGTCGTCAGTCAGATCTCGATTATCACCTTTGGTTGGTCCTTGTGGAAGTCAACTGTCCCATCTCAGTCATCGCCATTTGTTCAATCTCGGTGGAAGTTGGCTATTCAATCTTGGTCAATGGTGGCAACTTATTTCTGTCAACTTTGGCAGTTCGGTCTAATTATTGTTGGTAAGTCGATCAAGTCTTCATGTATTTTTGTCAAATTATAAAAGAGAGTGAGTTAGGATTTGACATAATAAGGGTTTAGAAATAATTTCAAATTATAAAGAGATTGAGGTAAAACTTGAATTTGAATTTGGTCAAATCCAAGTTCATACATTTTTAATTACCCAAATAATAAATTTGGCTCAAATTCAAATCTAAATTTAAATTCATGTGTATCCAAATATAGCATTATATTTATTTTAGGGTGAAACACCCTATTAAATAATTGTAAATATGAAAAGATAGATTATTTTAAAAATAAATAACTACTTTATTGAGGTGAGATTTGATTAAAATCTTACATTTTCAAATGGAAGGAGTATAAATCTATTCATTATTAACTTGGACAATACACATTTAATTTAAATGATTTAATTTAATATTAATATTATATTTTTTATAAATTAACTATGCAAACATAATTTTAGTAGTCCTATTAAATTTTGAATTTTTATTTTGTTAAATACAATATTAAAAATAATCATAATATTCTAACTCACACTTTTCAAAAATAAATTAAAAATAAAAATAAAAAATAAAATTTTTTAATCTAAATAATAAGTTTAAAAATTATTAAAATTTTAGTATTAAATTTAAATCATCCATTCTAGTGAATATGAATGGTTTAAATCAATTAGCAAATTTACTAAAATATTTTATTTTTATAAATCACAATACATATAATGTGATTGGGTATATGTTTAATTTTCAGTTCACATCTCACAAAAATTTAATTATTTATTAGATTTGATAAAAGTAGAAAATTTAAATACACTCTTAAATTTTGGAAATTAGATATGAGCAGTGTTTTAAAATTCGAGCCGGATATCGAACCGAAAAAGAGCAATGGGTTGCAGTTTTTATGATTTAACTAGTTAGATCGGTGGTCGAATTGGTGACATAAAAATTAAATAAAAAATAATATTTATATGCAAAATATATAAATAAAACATTAATTTATCGATGATGCTTGGAATCTCGATTTCAAAGGCTAGATGCCTAAATTGTTGAAGATAAAGATAGAGGCATGTCAACATAAGCTCGTGATCTTGAAGAAAAATACTAGAGCTAGAAGCACATTGTCATGTTTTGACTCACAAACTTTTGATTTCAATGCCAAAGGTTGGATTGTTAGAGTTGGAGGAGAAGTTAAAAATTAAGCTTGAGCCATAGAGGAGAGATTAGAGATTAGATAAGAAAAGACAAAAAAAAATTAGTTATTAGAGAAGAAAAATAACAAATCCAATTTGTCCTAATTTTTTTTTCTTTTTGTATTTTTTTGTCTTTAAATTGAGTTAACTCGGGTTGAATTGGCTCCGGTTTTTTAAGTTAAAGTTGGTTTTTTCAAAACCAGCCGTATCAATCTAAATCAACCTAATTCAAGTATCAAATTAATTTAACTGATTGAATCAAAATGTTTTGTTTAGAGAGTGGCGGGTCGACCGGTTCAGCCCTTTGCCCCCATTCCGAGTAATTTGGATCGCATGTGCATGTGACAGAGAAGAGAACCTTCTCTGCCCTTCCCTGCCCCCATTCCGAGTTGCGTCTACTCCGAGTAAGGGAGAGCTCGACCTCGTCTTCTCTTCTTCCTCCTCCTTTGTCCATTCGGTCAACCGCCGGTGACAGTGGGTGCGTCCTCGCCGCTGCTGGACGTTGGGTCACGAGATTTTTCCTCTCCTCCCCGATTTCCACCGATGCGTCTGCTACCGAGAGAGTGAGGGGGGAGAAAGCTCGTGTTGCTTCTGTTCTTTCCCGTCGTTCTTCCTCTTCTCGTCGCTGGTGGGTGTGTGAGGAGCGAGATCCACAGCTGCGGGAGGAAGCCGACCAGAATGCGAACTCTTCTTCCTCCTCTGTTCGCATCAGACTCTTCTTCTCTTCTTATGCCCTGTCCCACCCTGTGCACCGCTGGTGTGATTGAGGGAGCTTCGGTTTCTTCTGCTCTGTTGGTGATTGTTGTCAATCTCCCTTCTGGCCTTGATTTGTGTGTGTATTGTGTTTTTAGTGGCTGCAATTTTGATTCCCCCTGTTGTGTGAGCTGCTAAGCGGGAGGAAGGGAGTGGATTGTGTTTGAACATGCTTAAATCAAACTAGCAAGCTCACCTAGCTAAATAATTATGCCTTCAATATTTTGGTTATTGTAGAAGGAGAATGGATTTAGATGTTGTTCTTTGTTATATTTAAATTTTTTGATTTGGAATGAACTTTGGGAAATTTTGTAAATTTAAATATTGATATTGGAAATTGTTGGGCTTGAGACTGAAGGATTGAGAGCCTTGATCGAATGGATTGGTAATTGACGCATCTAAAGTGTTTGTTAAAATGTGTACAAGAGGAATTTGATTGGAATGTGCAATCAAGTATATTTATTGTACAAATAACAAAAATTTGAATTCCATTTGTTCAATCCTTAGGTTGAAACTTTTAAAGGTATAGCTGTTGCTGAATATATATATATATATATATTGCATTGTGGAAAACTTAGGTTACTAAAATGAATCTTAAATCTCGTAAAAGAAAGGGAGGATGATGTTATTTTCTTTTATGCTTGATGTATAGTTATTTGGTATATATATTATTTGATTGGGGAGAACAGCAGACACTTATTTAAGACTCAAAAACTCAGCTATGGGTTTGTATGCTTTCCCCTCCAGTTCCAGCTCTCCCCATCGCTTTCATCACACACGCTTTTTTTTTTTTTTTTTTAGCCAATCATCTAATGGAACAAGATTTGCTTGAAGAGAAAAGAAAAGGTAGGAACTTTAAATTCATTCCTTTTTCCCCTTAGTGGCTGTTTTTGACCAATCATTTATATATTTTTGTACTCGTTGTCCTTGCTGATAAATCAGTTTCATTGTTTATAAATCAGTTGCTCATCATTTCTTTATGGTGCCATCTGAGGGAATGTGAATTCATGAAAATATGTTGGTATTTTTGTTATATAAATCCATATATTTATTTTGAATTCATTCTTTCATTGTGTAGGAGCTGTGGAAACAAGAAGACATCATATTGAAGACTTCGAGTAGGCTGGCCTCAAAGTAATTTGTTTGTCGTCAGGCTAACGAAGGCCAAAGAGGAGCTTCATCCCCAACAACACCCCCCCAAAAAAAAAAAAAAAGAACAGAGAAGAAGAGTGATAATTGCTAGTTGCGACCTGAGGAGTTGTCAGGCATGTCATGGCATTTCGATCTCTGCGATTTCCAGGAATTTTTGCATACTCCAACAAAGCCAGGTATCCATTTCTGTATAAGCTTGCCTCCTTTCCTTCTTTTCCTTTCTCATCTGCACATCCTCCTCCTTTGTGTCATCCGGACCAGGAATTGTTGCCTAATCAAACAAATAATCACCTCAATCTCAAGGAACGTTTCATTCTTGAAAAACTTTCTGATCTCTTACCAATTACTCGCAATGTGAGTTTGACCCTATTGGATCACCCTAAATCAGAGGAAACTGAGTTGAATGTTTGTAAAGCACAAAAAGAAATGAAATCTGTTGATGGGTTTTTGTTGCCTGAAGAGAAATTGCGAGGGGTTTTTCTTCAGAAGTTAAGGGGTCAAACTGCAATTGAGAGCGCTTTATTGAATACTGGTGTTGATATGAACGTTGAAGTTCTTGGCAAGGTGGTGAACTCTGGGAATCTGGGTGGTGAGGCCATGGTTACTTTTTTCAATTGGGCGGTAAAACAGCCCATGGTGCCCAAGGACATTGATAGCTACCGGGTTCTTATCAAAGCATTGGGTAGAAGGAAACTTTTTAAGTTTATGATGGAATTGTTGTATAACATGAAGATGGAAGGCATAAGACCGGATTTACCTATGCTGTCCATTGTAATTGATAGCTTTGTCAGGTCTGGCCGTGTTTCTAGAGCAATTCAAATATTTGGAAACATGGAGGATATTGGGTTGGAACCTGATACAGAGGCCGCTAATGTGCTTTTGCAGTGTCTTTGCAGGCGATCTCATGTTGGTGCTGCAAATTCTGCTTTCAATTCAATGAAAGGGAAAATACCTTTCAATATTACAACATACAATGTTATCATTGGTGGTTGGTCTAAAATTGGTAAATTAAATGAGATTGAAAGAGTTCTGAGAGAAATGGTAGCTGATGGGTTTACTCCTAGTTGCACAACTTTCACTTGCCTTCTTGAGGGTTTGGGAAGAGCTGGTCGAATGGATGATGCTGTTAAGATTTTCCATGACATGGAAAAGATAAATTGCAAACCAAACACAAGCACCTATAATGCAATGATCTCCAATTTTCTATCAATCCGAGATTTTGACGAATGCATGAAATATTATAAAATGCTTCTGAGTGATAGCTGTAAACCTAATGTTGATTCATATTACAGACTAATTACTGCTTTTCTTAAAGCACGAAAAGTGGCTGATGCACTTCTGATGTTTGATGAGATGCTGAGTCAAGGGATTGTTCCTTCTACTGGAACTATAACCTCCTTCATGAAGTATTTATGCAGCTATGGTCCACCTTATGCTGCTTTGATGATTTACAGGAAGGCAAGAAAAGTAGGGTGTGTGATATCGATGGATGCGTATAAGCTACTTCTCATGCGCCTTTCTGAGTTTGGTAAGTGTGGAATGATGTTAAATATATGGGAGGAAATGCAAAATTGTGGTCATTCTTCAGATGCGGAGGTTTATGAGTATCTGGTAAGTGGTCTTTGCAGCGTAGGACAGCTTGAAAATGCTGTTCTTGTTATGGAGGAGTGTATAGGCAAAGGATTCTGTCCAAGCAGGCTTGTATATAGTAAATTAAGTAATAAACTGCTTGCTTTAAATAAGGTTGATAGAGCTTACAAGCTTTTTAAGAAGATCAAGAGTGCTCGTGCCAAAGAAAATGCAAGAAGATATTGGCGTGCAAATGGTTGGCACTTTTGAAGCTGGTATTTTCGTTGGCATCATTTGGATATCTTGCAGTTTCTTATTTTCTTCTCACAACTGGTCTTTGGTTGCCTTCTTGGAAACATGATTATTCTAGCATGCCTTTGCATTGAGTTCAACGATTTTGAAGATTAATTCCTATACATGTCCCATGATCATACAACAAAAGATAACATCCATATTGATTTTGCAGAAGAAAAATTTGGCGTGGAAACATCTACTGATGTTAAAATGTTAGAAAATTGATTAATGTGGTTTAGACATGTGCAAACAAGGCTGTTAGAGGTCCCAAGAAGAAAAGCTGAGTAAATGGTTCGAGCCCTATAAAAAGATATAGAAATCAAAAAGGATATTCAAAGAAGTTATCAAATTTAGCATCTTGGTGAGTGATATATTTAAAAAGTGATATATTTAAATGATATGGCGTAATTTATGTAGCTGGCTGATAAAGCTTTTTATGCTGTTACTCTTATACACGTGTTTAGGAATTTCTTTCATTTATGTAACATTATGCTAAATTCAGGATTAAATTGTATTTGCAGTTTGTGAATTCATAATAGAAAGTTGAGGGAATACTAGATGATTGTTTTGTAAATGGTCTTTCTGATCCAGTAAATTACATAATCGGAGAACCTACAGTTTTGAACGTTCAACCTGTTTAACTTCCCTTTTATCAAGTTGTTCCTCACTTTAAGTTACTGAAGAAATTTAAATAATATTCTGTTAAATGAGAACCTTCTACTTATTTTTGCCTCTATAGTAAAACTTCTTCCGTTATGTATGCCAGAAAAGAAAGAAAAGAATTTGATGAATCTGATTTTTAATGGTACGTCATTTGCAAAATTTCGAGTTAAAATGAGAAATATGTGGCAATCGGAAGAAAGATGATGAATGGGATGCGATCAACTCTCGCTTGCAAGTAATTCAAGTTATTGGTTGCTCATTGGATGTGTAGAGAGCCCTTAATAAGAGTGGGATCTGCTGGGTTGTCCATTTAGAGCCAGACTTTGAAAGATATGAAATTTTAGTGCAAAAGGGCTTTTGGACCTGATTTTGATTAAGCTTGTAAAAAACGAACTCAGGCTAGTTTTTTTTTTTTTTTTATGGTTGCTATGTTTCTTGTGAGATTTATGTCTTCGGAACAAAATTGAATTTTTTTTGAATTGGGGATATAATTGCTCTGTCTAATTGTGATATTGTTGTCATCATGTCTGACTGTTTAGTTAAAAATGTTGTATTGTTTCATTTTATCCTTGTTTTAATGTAGTTATTTGTGGATTATAATATTATGGACTAAAGAATACAATTTTGAATAACACTAATTTTGACTTGTATCATCTAAATTTTATTTTGTATTTGCATCATTTTGATCTTTTAAACCTGTTTTTTTTTTTTTTGGTTCATTTGAAATCAAGGGTTGGGATTGGAAAACAAAGAGGAATTTGGGGTTGAGCTTGTAGGCTTCAGTCCTTCAGGGCCAGTAAGCCCATTTTAACTGTTGTAGTGCTTTACTGATATATTTGATGGGCGACTTTATTAAAACAAATAATAGTTAATTTTGATCCCAAAATGCTAATATATATATATCAATAGGTTATAAATATGACATAAAAAAATTGTTTTAAAAATAGAAAACTTAATTGTTGAACCAAAACTTGCAAAATCTCTATCATTTGATGTGCAAGCATACAGGATAAGGGTGCAAGCAGATAGCCATAAAGTTCCAAGTCTATTTGCTTGCACCCTAAGTCTAATTGCTTGCTAACACCCTGGTATTTTCGTCCTCCACTAGCACAATTTTGAATCCAAGGAGGAACTTGCTAGCAATTTTTCCTAGTTTCTTTGAGTGTTGTTGGAAAAATCATTTTGAATAGTAGTCTCTGAGGGAAAGTGAGTGGGATAGCCTTTGGAAAATACTCTATTTTAGAGTAAGATTATTGTTGAATGTTATAAAGGCTCGTAAATACTTAGAATTGATAGAGTTGACAATACAAGTTGGGCCCACATTACAAACGTTATTATGGGCATGTATTTGAGGTGAACTAAGTCACACTTAAGTTTGCAATTTCTCAATTTATTTTCCTTCTCTTTATGCATTTGAATATGAATGGTTAATACTATGTTTTTTGTGTTGATATTTTGCTTGAAGAACTTTCCTGCTAAATACATTCTCACACATACATTTTAAGAATCGCTTTATGTTGAAGAGGTTGTGAAATTGTTCTTGTTTACAAGGAAACAATTTTTGCTTCAAGATCATTCATATACTAGTGTGTTTTCTTTCTTTCCCCCCCTTTAGAAGGATAAATTGTATTTATCTTATTTAAAATATTCATATAAAGATCTAATTGATTTGCATTTATTTACTCGCTCATTAATTTTCCAAGTGAATTTGGTAACAAGAACTTTGACTATTTTTCTTAATTACCTAAATTTTTATAAACACTTAAATCACTCATTTTTGGTGTGGTTGTCTTGTCTATTGTGTTTGGTTTAGTTTTTAAAAATTACAACTAGATTTACATTCACTTTTCAAAATAAAAATTGGTATTAATAAAAACAAACTCACAAAATAATCAAACTGAAAATTCATAACTATTGATTCGAAATGGGGAAAAAGTATTGATTTAAATTTATCAACAAAAATTATATAGAAATTCATTATGTCTGATTCAAACTACAAAACAACTTTTTTTTCTTTGTCAAAAAAACAAAAACACCAACATAACTTCAAATCTTTTATTATTGCTAAGGTAATGAAAAATACATATATATACATGCACACACACATAATTCCTGGGAATTCACACAAGCGATGCAAATTTTTTGCATCAATTGAATGATCCAAGAGCGCAGGTCGAACAGTGCATGAGAAATTGGTTAAAGTCAGTAAATCGTAGCTATGCTCTGGCTCTCATGGTTTATTTAATCGTCCTTGTAAACCAATTTTGGGTAGTCTGGAGTCCACATGTTCTTGTTCACATATTCCAAAAGTTGTTCCTGCAAATCACACAAGAAAAGCATGCATAACACTTAAAAAGTTATGATACACTAATGTTTGAGTCAAGTAACGAAAGAATGAACTTGGATCACATTTCCAGCACCAGCACCATCAATGCTTATATTGGACAAGATAGTTACTGATAGATTCATGAAATCTTTTGTGATCACAAGAAGCAATTAGAGATCCTTATACTGAGATAGTTGACCTGTCTTAATATTCCTATGTAATCAAAATTACCTTACTAAGTTTGGCAAGATCTCGAGCATCCATATTGCGGTATCCCTCTGCTAGTTCCTCCTCTACAGCTTCCATTATAACAGCTGTGGCAATCTCCTTTGTTATATCTCGAATTCTGAAATTTTTGCGTTATTTTCAAGAAAAGTCCAGCTCAAACATTCTCTATCAGCCTACATACTGAAAAGGAAAGATACTACTATACCTAGGTATTGGCGGGTATATAATTCCATGGACAACCTCTTCTTCACTCATGTATGCAGCGAGACTGTAATTTCAAGTCACCAGAGAAGAAAAATCTGTTAGAATTAAATGCATAAGGTAGGCTAGTCCTATATTGTTTATAATACTCCCAAAAGACGGCACAAGTCTATTTATTTGTTGAATAGACTATAATAGAACTATGTATGGGCCTTGAATTAATCATCCACTTTTGAGTTTAAATAGTCTTTAAAGCGACTAAGATTTAGATCATCCGAATCATTTGATCATATCTCACCAGTCTCTAATGATTTTTGTATATAGTTTGGAGTTAACGTTCGGAAGACTCACTTAGATGCAGTCAATCTGCAACAATCAAGTTCCCTTACACATGTTCTCCAATTATGGTGTTTCCACGAAAGGACTAAGCATTTGGAGATATGGAGATTGATTGTCAATTCATCCAAGAGAACATTTTGTCTGGTTGCACCAGAACATGATTTGTCAACTCATGACTACCCAGCAAATATCCCCATCAAATCCCTAGGAGTTATTTATATCAACTATATTAACAAGATTGATACGTACGATTTATATATACCATGAGTGAAAGCGTCCAAATTAGGTGTACGTATTCTGCTAGACAATATATGCTCTAGTATCACATCGTTTATTTCAGTGTCCTCCTTATAATCTATAAACACACCAGTGTAAGCTTATCTACTTTCACTTTCCAACGTATGCTCTTTCAAATTGAATTTCTACAACATTGATAAGTTAATTTTAAACCGGTTAAAGATGTCCACAAATCAAAATTTTGAACTTATTAAAGTTTCAAATCAAATACAGAAGTAAGGGAAAAACAACATATGCTTCTTGTTCATATTTAAATAAAGTTTACTCTAAATAAACCCTTATACTATGCCTCATCTGAGTACGTTAGAATAGACAAAACTCAATTAGTCAATTCTGCTCATCGCATAAAGTTTACTCTCAATATATTAGAACCGCAGTATTCTCCGGAATCATAACGCATAACCAAACATACCACTCAGCAGCAGCCTGCAGCATACCATCAGAGATTATCCTAGCCCCAGATAAAAGAGTTCCAAGACCAATGCTGAAACAGTAAAAATGTCAATAAGAAATAAATCATCTACTTCAGATTCTATTTTGAAATAACCAACTTCATTAAAAAAAAAAAAAAAAGCCAACCTACCCTGGAAAGAGGTACATGTTGTTTCCCTGGTTGCAGTGACCAACATGACCATTTCCTGCAAAAATAGAGTTACATTTGTCAGCTTCTTACATGAGGAAGAGATTAGAAGATTGTTCGTCACAAACTTGTGTGCTTTACAAGAGAGATATAGAAGGGCAGTGATAGGAAACATGGGAGACATTATTTTAGAAAAAAAATAAATTCTCTTTATGTTATTTTAATATTTTGTAAGAAGAAAAATATAAAGCCTAACTTTATATGAACAAGGTGTTAAGGTTTCCTTTTGTGTTCTTTTGTAAGAGAAAATCTGGAAGTTAGCTTTATATGTAGATGTGATTAAGGCTTCCTTATTTAGGCATGAGAGTTTTGTTAAATAGACTTGATTGCACTTGTAATGGACAGACTTGATGAATGAAATATTGTGACTGCATATTCAGAAGCTCTCCCCCTCTCTCTGCATTCTGTCTCCCTCTCCCTTGCTCCCCCATTGTTCTGTTCTTCATTTCTCCCTCCCTATTTCTAGTTTCTCTCTACTCTCTCCCTCTATTCAGATCTGTGTGAGTGTGTTACATCAGTTTGGTATTAGAGCTTGTGTTCCTATGTTCCTTGGCCATTTCCGTCACTTGAAATCACAAAAATCTTGCCTGAAAAACTCACAGACCCTGTTTCACGCTGCCTACCTAGAAACGCCCACTTCCTGATGTCAGATCGCTAAAACACCACTGCCATCGTGTTCAACAGGAAGAATCCGGTCAGAACCAAAAATTTCACCTCCGTCCTCTGACACACGCGCTTCCACGAGCCAGTGGAGTGATCTGCACGTGGCCGTCATGCACCCACGCGCTGGTGACAATCCTGTGTGTGACTTCATGCGCTGACGTGCACAGTGCCTAGAATCTGATTTTTTTTTTTTTTTTTTGCGTTTTGCGTGCTTTCAAGGAGATTTCTACAGTTTTGAGCAAGCTTGAGGATCCAAATCATCTTTCAAAGCTTTATTTGGGTAAATCTTCAACTTTTAGGCTTTTAAAGCTTTGTTGGTAAGGCTATTGACCTCTCATTTATTTGACTTATATGGTTTTTAGGAGGAGGTAGTTTTTCCTCTCATGCTTGGTTTGATATCTTTTGTTTGATCTTTGAGCATGCAATTTAATTTTTAAAGTTTGTTTAGTTTAATATTCTTAAAAAAAAAATTGATCATTATTATTGTTAATTTGTACCTCTTGACAGCATTATTCCCAACCTAGAACACACTTACCTCACACAATTCGGCCCTATACTTGGGTCAAGAAATTAGCCTAGGTTAGTTGAAGTTTAATGGTTTCCCTGTAAGGTTATAGACATTCGGAGGTTATTGTGAAACTTCACTCAGGTTGTTACCTCTTAACATACAATCCTTGAGAAACTTTGAGTTTCCAAAGGATTGGTTTTGTTAGAAAAGGACTTTACCTTTTTAGGTGAGGGCAACTTGGGAATCTTTTCCTTAAGGTTTCTAGAACCACCCTAAACCCTACACTTTAATATTGCCCTTGTTCATTGTATGACCATTCATGATTTATATGACAAGCAAGCCTTGTTAGATCAAGAAATTACTACCCTTAAATCTGCCATGGCTAATAACTACCAAATCACCCAAAATCACCTTGAGGAATCTGAGAGGGCTCAAAGGGCATATGTGGACTAGCGATTTGATGAACCCAAGGAAGTCATGAATAGGAAATTTGAAGAGATCATGGGTGCTATTCAGTTGCAATACAGACAAGATACAGAAAAGGTAACTGAAGGGTTGTTAGAGAGACCAATTGGGATAATCCAGTTTTAGGAATGAGAGATCCCCTGTCTTCAATCAACCTAAGGAAACTCCTTGTAGGATTGGTCATTCTTTTGGAAGGGTGGACATGGTAGACCCTCTCCTCATGAACTTATCAATCATCAATCAGAAGATCTAGATGATACTTGGGAAGGTTGTGACCACGAAGAACAACATCATGGATCACTTCAACCAATCTAGCAGGACGGTAGAGAAAACTTTAGAAGGGTGCATATTGATGACATCACTAAAAAAGTTAAGGTTGAGGCCCTTGAATTTGATGGAAGATTGAATGCTAGTGCTTTCTTAGATTGGTTAGCCAGTATAGAAGACTACTTTGAATAGTATGACATGAGCGATACCTAACGAGTTCGATTTGCAAAGATGAAGTTTGTGGGTTCTGCAAGAAAATACTGGCAAAATGTTCAGAAGAACAATGAGCGACAGGGATATCCTCCGATTGAGCTGTGGGATGAAAATGAAGGCAAAGTTGAAAGAGAAATATGTGCCGATTCATTACAAGAGTCAGTTATACGACAAGTACCTCAACCTGAAGCAAGTTTCCACTGCTTCAGAGTATATATCTCATTTCGACAACCCTATGATTAGAAGTGACGTGGATGAAGAAGAATGGTGCACAATCACTAGGTATGTTAATGGACTCAAGCCATATATACAAAAGGAGCTCAAGCTGAACTTCCCTGAGTCTCTTAAGGAAGTGTACCATAAGACCTTGGAAGTAGAGTCTCTGTTGCAGTACACTTCTATTAGGCGTACCAACTTGCAGAGGAATCAATTTCGACAGGCATGAAGTTCAAACCTGATGGAGCAATCTTCTGGAGCACTTACATCTAGGCCTACCCAAAATAGGTTCAAGAGTAATACCTCTAAGCCTATTGAGGCTTCTCGCCCTAGTAACTCTCTTGTTGAGTGTTTCCGTTGTTACTAAAAGGGTCATATTGCTCCAAAGTGCCCACAACGAGCTTTAATTATTGACTCACCTTTTAAGGAAGAGGAGAATGATGTCAATGCCGACATAGTTGTCGAACCAGTTGAGTGTCCTTTAAATGTTGATGAGGACATCATCATTGATGAACATGGGTGTGAGACACGTCGAGTTGTAGTTATGCGATGCATTTTGTCGGTCCCTCTACCTAGTGATTCATGGAAGCGAACTAGTATCTTCCATACCTTTGTGAAGTGTGGAGGCAAATCTTGCAAGTTAGTCATTGATGGTGGGAGCTCTAGAAATGTGATTTCTAGTCAAGGAGTAGTCCGGCTTGGTCTCAAGATAGAACCTCATCCAAAACAATTCGAGTTGCGTGGGTTGACAAAACTTCTTTACCAGTCACTCAACAATGTCGCGTTCCTCTGCAACTAGGTGACTATAAAGAAGAGGTTCTTTGTGATGTTCTCCCGATGGATGTTGCTCACATTCTGCTAGGTCGATCGTGGCTTTATGATCACAATGTCATCAACCATAGTTGGGAGAATACATATACATTTAAGCATAATGTCAAGACAATCTTGCTACACCCTGCTAAGCCTGACACTGAAGTTAGACATCCGAGTAATTCAAAAGTTATGAAGCCCAAAAACCAAAGTTTGCACCTTCTAACAGAGAAATAGTTTGTTCTAGTGACAAGGAGTTTTATGCGATTGTGAGATGTCTTGAGCATTGGAAATACTATCTCCTTCCTCAACAATTTGTTCTTTGCTCTGATCATCAAGCGCTTAGGTTTATCAACTCTCAGTGACACTTAAATGCTAAACATGCTAAATGGGTTGAGCATATTCAAGGACTCACTTTTGTGGTCAAGCATCGTTCAGGAACAGAAAACAAAATAGCTGATGCTCTTAGTCAACAGATCAACTTGTTGCATACTATGAGCATTAGTGTTGTTGGTTTTGAAAACTTGAAGCAAGACTATGCTTCATGTCCAAATTTTAGGTTAATATACCATGAAGTTAACAGTAATAACCGTCATGATCATGTTGATTTCCTCCTTAAAGACGGTCATTTCTTTCGCGGAAGCAAATTGTGCATCCCACGAACTTCTATGCGAGATTTTCTTGTTTGGGAATTACATGCTGGAGGTTTAGCTGGTCATTTTGGGATCAATAAAATTGTTGCATTAGTTGAAGACAAGTTCTATTGGCCTTCGCTCAAGCATGATGTGGCTCGCAGTGTCTCAATGTCGAAATTGTCAAACTTCTAAAGCTAGAAGATAGAATACCGGTTGGCACACTCCTTTGCCAATCCCCAAGGCACCCTTGGAAAGACTTGAGCATGGACTTTGTCTTAGGATGCCTCGAACAGCTAAAGGTCACGATTCTGTGTTAGTGGTTGTAGACAAATTCTACAAGATGGCCCATTTTATTCCCTGTAGCAAGACCACAGATGCTTTTCATCTTGCAAAATTATTCTTTAAGGAGATTGTGCGTTTGCATGGGTTACCTACTACCATTGTATCCTATAGGGATCTTAAGTTTGTTAGCTACTTTTGGAAAACCCTATGGAAACTTTTTGGTACCCAGTTGAAGTTTTCTTTTGCTTTCCACCCCTAGACAGATGGCCAAACCAAAGTTACTAATTGAAGTCTAGGTAATTTGTTTAGAAGTTTAGTCGAAGACAAGCTGAAGCATTGGGATTTGGTTCTACCCACTGCCGAGTTTGCATATAATAATTCGATGAATAGGTTCATAGACATGAGTCCCTTCTAGATTGTTCAAGGTTTTAATCCTAAACAGCCTATTGATCTTATGCCAATCCCGTTGACATTTCGTACTTCTGAATCTGCAAAATCCTTTGCCCATCGCCTTCATGAATTACATGCTGAAATTAGGCGAACATTAACAAGAAGTAATGATCAATATAAATTATCTGCTAATACTCATCGTCGATTTCGAAGCATCAATATAGGCGACTATATTATGGCTCGAATTCATCTAGAACGTTATCCTAAATACACTTTTAAAAAGTTGCATGCTCGAGCTTCTAGACCTTTTCGCATAGCAAAGAAGTTAGGATCTAATGCAAATTTTTTAGAATTACCTCTTGATATGGCCATAAGTTCGCTTTTTAATGTGGTGGATCTTTCGCCTTATTGGGGAACTTTTGAGCCCCCCCCAATTGCTTTCTAATGATTCTGCAGGTACTCAGCCCTCGCAAGTGCTAATCCTACCATTGCCATCTATCTCACCATCAATGGAAGAGATCGAAACCATTATGGATGACCAAATTATGT